TTCGCATGAGGTGGCCAAAGTACTGGAGTTTCAGGTTCAGCATCAGTCCTTCCAGTGAACACCCAGGACTGATCTCCTTTAGGATAGACTGGTTGGATCTCCTTGCAGTCCAAGGGACTCTCAAGAGTCTTCTCCAACACCACAGTTCAAAAGCATCCATTCTTCAGTGCTCAGCTTTCTTTATAGTCCAACTCTCACATCCATACATGACCACTGGAAAAACCATAGCCTTGACTAGACGGACATTTGTTGGCAAAGTAATGTCTCTGCTTTCTAATATGCTGTCCAGGTTGGTCATAACTTTCCTTCCAAGGAATAAGCGTCTTTTAATTTCATGGCTACAGTCACCATCTGCAGTGATTTTGGGGCCCAAAAAATAAAGTCTGACACTGTTTCCACTGTCTCCTCATCTATTTCCCATGAGGTGATGGTACCAGATGCCATCATCTTAGTTTTCTGAATGTTGAGCTTTAAGCCAACTTTTTCACTCTCCTCTTTCACTTTCTTCAACAGGCTTTTTAGTTCCTCTTCACTTTCTGCCATAAGGGTGGTGTCATCTGCATATCTGAGGTTATTGATATTTCTCCCGGCAATCTTGATTCCAGCTTGTGCTTCCTCCAGCCCAGCATTTCTCATGATGTACTCTGCATATAAGTTAAATAAGCAGGGTGACAATATAAAGCCCTGACATATTCCTTTTCCTATTTGGAACCAGTCTGTTGTTCCGTGTCCAGTTCTAACTGTTGCTTCCTGACCTGTATACAGGTTTCTCAAGAGTCAGGTCAGGTGGTCTGGTATGCCCATCTCTTTCAGAATTTTCCACAGTTTATTGTGATCCACACAGTCGAAGGCTTTGGCATAGTCAATAAAGCAGAAATAGATGTTTTTCTGGAACTCTCCTGCTTTTTCAATGATCCAGCAGATATTGGCAATTTGATCTCTGATTCTTCTGTCTTTTCTAGAACCAGCTTGAACATCTGGAAGTTCTGCTGTCAGCACCCCGGAAACCTCTGTTTTGGGGATTCCAGGCTGCTTTCCCGCTCAGTCCAGTGACAGGGGCCAGTCAGACCGTGAAGGGTTCGGTGGGAGAAGAAGACGGGACGTTTCCCGGGGCGGGGGCGTCAGACAGCAGCCCCGTAGACCCCACCTGCGCCAGGTTTGAGCGCAGCTGCCTCAGGGGATGGGGAGGCGGGCTGGGGCCTCCGAGGACTCACGGGGGTCTCTTTCATCCTCCCACCCCTGACCCCTGTCGGCTGCAGTCCAGGAAGCCAGGCCAGTTCTGGGCCTGGACTGAAGGGAGGGCGGTCTCATGGGGCTGCCAGAGATGCTCCATCTCTCGGGGATGTGGAAGGGTGTGCCGTGGAGTCGGGGCACAGCTGTCCCGGTGGTAGGGGAGACCCGAGGCACCCTTTTGCCTGGTGGGGCAGTGGGGACTCGGGGGCGTGCCTCGGGGGTGCGGGGAAGCCAGTTCGCAGGAGACAGCCTCAGGTCCGTGTGGCCTGACATCCCGGGTGGGTGACGCTCCTGCAAGGTGCCCACACGCAGAGCTTGCAGGTCAGGCGTCAGGGAGCCCGCCTCTGGGTACCACATCTGAAGCTCGTGTTCATCTTCCCCTCCCGCTTCACTGGGGCTCCAACACACCAGGCACCCCAAACACATCACTCGGTTTTGCGGTTGCTGTTCGACGATCCGCTCCAGCAGGACAGGGTTTGGGGGATCTGTTTGTTTGTTTATCTGATACATTCACTGCCATCACTTCCACCGCTCATGCCCCCAGAAGGTTCTTAACAAAGATGCACGGAATGAACTCGTGCCGTGAGCTTGGAGTAAGGATGTGGGAAGCCGTGTCTATCCTCGGGGGGACAGCAGACACAGGCAGTGGGGACGGCCAGCCGGGACGTGGCACAGCCTCTGGCTGAAGCCAGCCCAGGGCTCAGAAGGGCTCAGGGGTCACTTGGGCCGCTGGCTGGCAGGGGCCAGGGCAGCAGTCGGGGGAGGAGCACAGCGTGGAAATCCGACATTAATACCGCAGGACCTAATTCATGAAAACATCTAATTACAGGGTGCCGGCATTTAATTGTAATTTTGGTAATGACCTGCAACTGCATACAAATTATAGGGTAATCAACTCGAAACGTGCTTACAGCTGCCGTAAATGCCGTTTAATCTAACGGGGAGCGCCCTGGCCAGGGTCTGCGGGGCGCGGACCAGGGCACGGCGCTGGGAACATCCTCTGTCTGGCTTGTGATGTCCCCGCCGGGGAGGCGAATAGCGTGGAGCTGGGCTACGAAGGCCAGCTGCTCTGCACCCCCAGCCCCGGCCATGAAGAGGGGCCTGCACACAGGCTCCAGTTTAGAATGCAACAGGAGAGGTTGAGGTCAAACCCAGACTGAGTTGGCAGAGATGGGAGGGCGAGCAGGAAGGTTGGCCTGCTGGCTGGTCTTGGCAGTTCGGAGCCCCAAGACAAGGGCTTGGCGGTGTAGGCCTCCTTCGTACCTGCAGGGAAGACCAGTTGGCGTGCCTGTGGGTGTGTTTTATTTGGGCTGCCTCCCAGGTGGCACTAGTAGTAAAGAACCCGCCTGCCAATGCAGGCAGATGTAAGAGACGCGGGTTCAATCCCTGGGTGGGGAAGATCCCCTGGAGGAAGGCATGGCAACCTGCTCCAGTATTCTTGCCTGGAGAATCCCATGGACAGAGGAGCCTGGCGGGGTGCCGTCCACGGGGTCGCAAAAAGTCGGACACGTCTGAGGTGACTTCGCACACACAGCGCTCTGAAGGGGCAGAGCTGAGCGCCTTGGACCGGGCACCCACGCTCTCGTCAGCACATCCCGCCTCAGCCCCGGTGGTCGCCCCGCAGGGCCCTGCCTCTCATGCTCACTTGCGCCCTTACCGCCTGGATCTCAGCGGTACTGACTCGCATGCACGTGTCCAGAGGCTGTGTCCCTGCTGAGAGGGAGGTGGGCTTTGGGCCGGACACCCAAGGACTGAATTCTGCCTGCTGCCTCTTGCCGTCTGAGTGGCCTCGGGCATGAGGTCAGGCACATGCATAGAGTGCTCAGCTTGCAGGCTCAGGCAGCACGTTCTCCAGTTGCAAGGTCGGCCTAGCGTCACGGGTAACAGTGTGGGCTCTGGAGCCAGCCACCTGGCTTTCCATCCCAGCCCGGCACCCGTGAGCTTCCTGAACTTACCTCCCCTTGGACAACCCTTGTTTCTCTGTAAAAATGGGGATGATCGTAAGGACTGCTGCCTTAGCTCAGAGAGTCCGTGGAATGAGTTCATGAATAGGAAGGACTTCAATATAAAGAAATATCAGCTGTGAGTCTGCACTGTGTGCTGGGAGAGAGCTGTGGGTGAAGGGGAGGACAGGCTAGCCCGTGTTCCTGCATGGGTGCACACATCTCCCCTTCCTCTCCTGGATAACTTTCCCTTGCCGATCTGCCTGGCGAACTCCTATTCATCCTTCAAAACCCAGCTGGTTTCCCCCTCTTCGGTCCAGGGGCAGCATCCATCGAGTGCTGCCTGTTGTGGTGGCATCACATTCACGAGGCCATTGGCTCATTTCTGCCTCCGAGTGGGAGTGTTTGGGGGCACACTGGTGGCTGGCATCGTAACTGCAATGGGCACAGCTGCTCAGAAGAACTTCCTAAATGTTGGTTGAACTGATCTGATTGGATTAGCGAGCGAGGAGAAGGGGGACGTGGGGTACTCCATGCCTAGGTAGATGCTTTTGAATTTCTTGTTTAAAAAAGGAAACATTCATAAGGGGAAATATATATTATATAAAGCAATAAATAATTACATCGAGTAAAAGTAACATTTTCCTTGTCAACCTCTTGAATCCTCTAGATGCAGCCACTGTAGTGAACTCTTCACTGCACACCTTTTCTGTGCTTCTGCACACAATATATATTTCTCTCTACAAATGGACCCTCAAGACACACTTTTCTGTGTCTCCTCTGTTCATTTGCTAGTGTTTGTTGACCGCCACTGCAGAGTTCACAGACCACCCCGTTGGTTTTCGGGGTGCGTGGTGTTCCACGGTCTGGGTGCCTCATGATTTATTTAGCTGCCCCCCTGACCGCATGTTCGGACGATGGGCAGTTTCTGGTTTTCGCTCCCCCAGGCCAGGCTGCACGGGCGTGTCTGTGCGACCCCCCCGGCATGCGTGTCTGCTGCAGCGGGGAGGTCCCCCGACCGGCCAGGCCTGCCCCGCAGTGCTGGGCCTCCCGTTGCTTTCAATCTTTCGCTCTTTCCGCGGCTCTTTGAGCGGTTGTCCTGCTCTGCTTTAGAGAGAGAAGCCTTACCTATCCCGTGGCTCCTGCCCCGATTCAGGGCTCAGATGGGAAATGCTGTCTAGGGTGAGAAGAGGGACAGATGGGCTGGTCCCTGCCACTTCCACCCCGATCGGCGCCGGCCAGCTGGGGCAACGCTGCATTGTCTAGTTTTAGATGGCTTTCTTTTCCTGCGGATGTGGAGTTTCTCAGCTGTGGAACCACATTTGAAGGCCCTTCTTCTTGTTCTGGATCCAGGGACCCTGAGGTCCTGGCAGAGGGGCTTGGAGGGCGAGGCCCTGCCTGGAGCGGGGTATGGGGGGACGTTTGGGGGCAGCAGTCGACACCCCCTTTCTCCGGGGGGGCCCATTCGGGGCCTGTAGCCCCGTCCCTCGCCTAATCCTGTTTTCTGCCCAGCTGAACAGCGGAGAAGGCTTATTTCTCGTCCCATTTTAATGCAAAGGAGGCGGCCAGGCCTGGCTTGTTCTGAGCTCGGTGACAGTGGCCGTGAATGGGGACCCCAGTAACCGGGACAAAAATGTGACAGGCCCTCCATCATGGCATTGTCCGACAGCCGGGACGTTGTGGCTGCGCCCGGAGCCCCGCCTGCTATGCTAAGCAGACAGGGGCCACCGGCCTGGTCCGGTCAGTGCTTCCATTGTCAGGAGCCTGGACCTGAACAATTCAGACGGCCCCCCAGCTGCGCCCCCCTCCCGCCCTCCTCCCGACATGAGGCGCGGACGTGCGGGTGTGGGTAGAGGGGCTCCCAGACCGCCGCCCTGGAGAGGCCACGGCCACTGCTGGACGCCAGGCGCTCCCCTCTGGGGCTCGGTGACAACACCCGCCCCCAACGGGAGCACTTCTGAGTGTTCGCCAGGAGCGCCTGCCAGGCGGCCCTGCTCTGAGCCCCACGGTGGCCTGGGCCGTACCCGGCACCGCCTCCAGCTTGCGATGGTCACACCGCAGGCCAAGTCACCAGGCCTCGGGGGGCCCAGGAGGCGTGGCGGGGGTCTGTGGGGGGCGAGGAGGGCAGCGCCATCCGGCGGAAACGGGGGGCAAGCCAGACGTCTCATGATGTGTGTGACTTCCACACAGTCCCAGCAAAAGAAAGGGAAGGGAAACAGGTGAGATGAATTTCAAGAGTACAGTTCATGGGACTTGCCCGAAATCTCAGTTCAGCACGTAACCTCTATTGGAAATACTAACGAGACACTGTATTTATGAGACAGACCGGGCCTTTGAAATCTGGTGGGTGCCAGACCCCCGTCCCCCGCACATCTCAGTCCTCTTGTATCTGCTGAGGGTCCACACGTGGCTGGTGGCTGCCGTGCTGGGTGGCTCAGGTCTGCAGGGGCCAGCGGGCACGCCCACCCTCCCCCGTGACCCCGGGCCGCTGCTCCACCTCTCTGGGGGTCGGTTCCCCTCTGGAGAGCCCTTCGCAGCCTGGTGACGGAGAGGAGCAAGGCGATCCCCGGGGCCCTGGCTGGTGACTCCTCAGGAGTAGGCACTCAGCAGGGCTTCCCTGTGCAACCCCCCACCCCCCGATCGTCCGACAGCCTCCACCCACCCCAGGGCCTCCCCCCAGACCCTGGCCGGGGCAGCCTCTCCTCTCTTCAGGCACCAGCAGAGACCCTGCAGCTCCCGTCCCACCCCTCTGGGGGGCTTGGTGGGGCGCCGGGGTGGTGCAGGTCGGGCTGGACTAGATGGGGATCTCCCAAGCCAGGCAGCAGTCCGTCTGCTGGACCTGCCCTCGCGGCACCCATTTTGCAGATGTGGAAACAGAGACCCGTTCGCACAGAGACGCGGAGGGAGGGCGGAGCTGAGCCACCCTCTGAGCCACCCTCTGAGCTGCCCCTCGTCGACACTCAGCTAGGAGAGTCCTCCCGACTCCAGTCGGTTCAAAGATCTGTGAAGCTCCTTCACTTACAAAGAGAAAGGGCTACTACCACCCCGGGCGGGGCGGGGAAGCTGGGATGAGGGGCAGCTGGGTGGGGCGGCCTCTGGGACGCGTGTGCCGAGCAGCTGCAGGGAAGTCACTGCCTTCCTCATGCAGTTTCCGGCGGGCACGTCCAGGGTCTCTGCACCCGCGGCGGGAAGGCGGACACATTTGCAAGCTTTGAAGGGCGGTCCCCAGGCCGGGGCTGGGAGGGCAGAGGGGGTGGGTGTGGACACAGCGCTCCTCTCCTTCCCCCGCCCCGCCACCCTCACCAGACCCCATTGATCACAGGAGGCTCCCATCCTCAGAACCGCAGGCTCGCCTGCTCAGCCAGTGCATTTGCGACTGGACACCTTCCAGGGCCGGAGTGGGGATGGCTGGTAACGGACCGCAGACTGAGTTATGCAGCCGCCAGACTCTGGGGGGGCGGTGAGCCCGGGGGAGGTGATGGGGGCTGGGACACGCAGGGGTGGGGCGCCCCAGCCCTCCGCCTCCCTGCCCCTCTTCTCCCCGACGCCCCAGCCTCTGAGTCGCCCTCCCGCCGCCGTCCACCACCACCCAGATGGGCCAAGCAGCTCCATTATGCGGAGTTGGAGACTGAGGCCTGGAGGAGGGAAGGGACTTTTCCAGGGTCACAGCATAAGTGGCCTCTAGAGTCCGGGACCCTTTCTCCTGGTCTGGAGCTGCCTGGGGACCGTCCTAGCAGCCTGAGCCACACGCTGTCGCCCACCTGCTCCAGCACTTGGGAGGTCCAGCCTCGAGGCTCCCAAGTCTGCCCTCTCCCTGGCCTTGGATTTGCTCTGCCTGCTGAAGGAGGTGGGGCACATTGCTTCACCTTTATGTGCTCCGTGATGCTTCCCACTGAGTCTGTTTCTTCATCTGTAGCACAGAGAGTGAATTTTACAGCTGGTTTCTGGAGAAGGGAATGGCAACCCCCACTCCAGTATTCTTGCCTGGGAAATTCAACGGACAGAGGAGCCTGGCGGACTAGTCCATGGAGTTGCAAGTGGACACGACTGAGTAACTAAACCAGGACAGAGCAGTTGGGGACCATGTGAGGAAGAGCGTTAGTGCCTCAGCCCTTCAGAACACGCTGCTCTGACCCTCAGCCCTGGGCGCCCTAGGTCCGGGCCTGAGCGGGGAGACCTGGGGTGTCCATGCTGGCCTTGTCCAGGGAGACCTTCAAGGACCGGACACGCAGGCAGTGGGAGGCCTGATCTCACCGGGATGGGTGAGATCACCTGGACACAGACATGCAGAGAGCGGGAGGATGGGCTCAGAGCTGGGCCGACTTGAACCCGGGTCCCATTAATCAAGGTCTATACCTAGGAGAAGGAGGTGAAGTTGTGCTTGGGCGGCCCAGCCCCTCTTGGGTCCTGTGCCTGGAGCTGGGCGAGAGGCTCCAACCAGGTTTGGGAGGCGACTGCACACACGCTTCGGTGAGTGAGGCTGGGGAGATGCCCGGCTCCATCTGAGTCTCTGCCGGCTGCCCTGGGTAGGGGAGGAGGTGGGGCCGTGCGCCCAGAGGGCCAGGCGGGGCTCCAGTGGGCAGAGCAGAGTCGGGCTCCAGCTGGGTGTGAGGGCTTGTGTCCTCCCAGGCAGGCTCGGCAGGATGGGGCGGGGGGGGAGCGCAGCGCCACGTTCGGGGAGCCTCACGTGGAGGCTGATGGATGCAAAAGTGGGCCCTGGTGTTGAGTGGGGGCGGGCCTCCGGGTCCACAGGGCCCCTCCTGCTCAGAGATGCGGGCCTCCAGCGGGGAATAGTGTTCCCAGGGAGCAGCGGGAACCATCACTGACTACAAATTGCTCTGTGATTTTTCTCCCGTTACCAGGGCGACAGCAGGCTGAGCATCTTAAGCAGCAGGGGGATGCAGCCGGATCTTTTAAAGCCGTAGATGGTTTCCCTTCAGGGCTCCACACATCCTTTCTCCACCTCTCACCCTCCCTTCCCCTTGCACCTCCCGGTTTCGTTAACACTGCCCCCTCCCTCCCTCCCTCTCTCCTTCCCCCTCTCCCTCCCTCCCACCAACCCCGCACTCACATGAGGGGTCACACCTGTTCCCCGCTCACCTTCAGGTACTGTGCCTCATCCCTGCAGTTCAGGGCTTCTTGCTTTCAGGTTCCCTGGGCCTCAGTTTCTACATCTGTAGAATGGGAACGGCACATGCCTGAGTGATGCCTACCCCATCCTCACAGGGTCATATCAACTCACCCTGCAATTCCGGGGCCAGTGCAGGAAGTCTCTGGAGGGGCCCAGGCTGCAGCAAAACCCTCCTTGATTCATTCATGTTCACCTGTAGTTCTTTAACCTGTGCTGTTCTATGCAGTAGCCACCAGCCCACGTGTGGCTACTGAGTCCTTAACACGTGGCCGGTACTGTGTTTTAAGACAGTATTGGGGCTATATTGGGTTAAACAACATACATTATTAGAGTTGCTTGCACTGGTTTCTTTTCAGTGTTAGAGAAGCTTAAGCCACAGGTGGTCTGCATTGTATTTCTGCTGCAAACGGCATTAAGTTAACAGGTATAACCACAGAGCAGCAGCCGCAGTGGCAGCTGCTGTGGACGGAGGTGGGGCTCGTTTCACCCGATGGAACCCCGTGACGTCGTGGCCACACTGTCGGTCTGACCACCAGGGAGAAGGAGGCCCGGAGGAGAAAGCTGCTGGCCGATGGCACCCTGTTGGGTGGTTGTGCTGGGACCCTGTCTTGGTGGGCGTGGGGCGGGGTGTGTGTCCTTAAAACAAAGCCCGCGGATGCGGGGCTTGAAGACAGAGAGCGGGTGGCTTCGGAGCCCAGCGGGGCTGAGCGGGGGCTGCAGGGTGTTCAGGTGGGCAGCAAGGCCAGTGGCCGCCCCGCGTCAGGGGTGTCAGGGCATGGCATGTGCTGAGACGGTCCTCCCCGAGCCCGGAGCCCCTCGGCCGCCTCATCACCCCCAAGCGCTGGCATCACCACCTTGTCCGAGCGGGGCTAACACCCAGATCCCACCTGCTGCTGTGTCCCGAGCCCACACGTGTGCGGCCTCACAGCGGCTCCTGTGCCTCCAACACCTGTGACCTTCTGTGAATAGCGCACACACGCCCGCGGTCTGCAGCCCAGCAGGCTCCTCTGTCCATGGATGTGTGTGTGTGTGTGTGTCTGTGTGTGTGGCTTCCCAGCTAGCTCAGTGGGACTTTCCAGGCCAGAATACTGGAGTGGGTTGCCACTTCCTCCTCCAGGGACTCTTCCTGACCCAGGAAGAGTTCGACCCAGGGATCGAACCCACATATCCTGTGGCTTCTGCATCGGCAGGCGGATTCTTCACCCCTGAGCCAGTCATAGTCACACACACACTTACATATATCCACTGTATGCACATACATGTACACGCACCTACATATAATCACACAGATACCACATGCACGTGTATACACACACATCTGTATGCATCCACATAGTAGGCATATAGATAACATATACGTATGTATGCATGTGTATACACACATCTGTATGCATTAACATAGCAGGTATATAGATACATATACACATGTATGCGTGTGTATACACACACATCTGTATGCATTCACATAGCAGGCATATACATATGCATACACATGTACACAGCTATGTATATAAACTGGTGTGGTTGGGGCATCTTCAGTTTGTAGAAACTGTTAGAAGTTGCCAGTTGGATGCCCGGGTGAGGTGTGGACGGACGTGGACGGAGGGGGAAGTGCTTTCTGTAGCCTCTGGGGCTTACATGGGTCACTGTGCCCAGCAGGCATCCAGCACGGTGCCCGCAGCCCCCGGGGCAGGAAGACACATTTCATAAATGGAAGAACACTCTTGCGAGACAGGAGCCCTGCACTCAGGACTCTGCATCATCTCTGTGGCCAGTGCCAGGCCTGAGTGCTGGGCCCAGTTCCTGGCAGCGTGCTTGTGGGCAGGCGTGTGTGTATAGGCAGGTCGTGCGCCCTTGGAGCCCCGGCTTGGCTGTCACCCACTCTGTGGAGATGGCTGGGCTGGCCCTTCCACTTCGGCCCCTGCAGACCACCTTGCAGCCCTGCTCCAGGCCCTGGGGGCTGACCTTGGGGCGGCTCCCACAGCCTCCCAGCCGCTGGGCGGAGGATGAGTGGGGCTCCCTGCCCCTCCTGCAGGCTGGCAGCAGGGTGGGGGGGCACTGCATCCACCAGGGCCCGTGGCTCCTGCCCGGCCGCCCGCTGCTGCCCCGGCCACTGGTTCCAGCTTTTCCGAGCCTCAGGCCTCAGAGGGAACGTCTCCCCACCTCTGCCAGCGCCCCCGCCCCACCCTCATATCCTCCTGGCTTCTCTGGCCCGCGCCTCTGAAACCGTGTGAATCACCCACCCACGGGGCTGCCCATTCCCCACCAGGACCCTGTCCGACACACCAGGCAAGTCCTCCTGCATAGTTGAGTCTCGGTTTCTGTGAAATGGGAGTGCTCACAGGCGCCACACCCTGCCGAACAGGTTAAGGGAGAGAACTCGCCCCAGCGGCGTGGCCAGCCCATCGCCTGCGCCCAGCAGACGGCTCTTGTTTAACGAGGCTGCGGCGGGTGGGCAGGGAGGGCTCCGCTGCGGTCAACAGCTTGGACTCTGGAGCCGGACGGTTTGGACTCCCAGTCGCGGCTCGGCCGTGTGGCAGCTGTGTGACCTCGGGCCAGTGACTCAGCCTCTCTGAGCCTCGCCTGTAAGTTGGGAGTGGCAGTTACTAGAGCACCTCGCACATGAGGACTCTGCACGCGCACCAGCCGGGCTGTCCCTGCCCTTCCCGAGCGGCCACGGATGCTCACATGTGTGGGGGAGAGGCTGAGCGCCCGTGGTCTGCGGGGAGCAGCAGGCGCCCCCCACCCCGGGCACGTGGGGCCTCGTCCGCCTGTCTGGCCACCCACCTCGACTTCCTCTGCCATGTGGCTGGTGGGTGGACGTGGCCCAGCGCTCCCAGGGGCTGCGTGTGGGTCCTCTCTTCTCGGACGGAGGGGTGTCGGGTCCAGGGTCTCTGTGGCCTCAGGGTATGTGCCCTTCCTTCTGGGATGTGGGGGGGCCACTCCACCTGCCCTTGGGGACATGCAGGGCCTTGCTCCGGGCCAGCAGCCTCACGGCCCCTTACGGGCAGGCGCCCCCCACCCCACCCAGGCTGTGTAACCAGAGTCGCAGCGCCGGGAGCCCGGCCCAGGCTGGATCGCACAGGTATCAGCTCACCGCCTGGGTCCCGTTTCCCTTCACACGAGGGCTGCTAACAATGGCCAACAGTCCCCATGGGGGGCCCAGCCCCCCGTCCAGGGAGAGGTCCCGGCCGGCTATCGGGCCACACGATCTCACCCCTCGGAGAGGCGGCCCTCCCCTGCAGACAGGGTGCACAAACGGGGCCTTTAGCGGCTGCCAGCGCCCAGGGAGCGGCCGGAACCAGCCCCCCGTGCCAGCCAGGCCGCGCGGCTGCCTCTTCCCCTCCGTGTGAACCTGCCCCCCCGCACCCGGGCCTGGGTTACACCCCGTGAAAGCCCTTTGTTCCTGGGCCTGAACGAAACTGGGCCCGGACGGGCGAGGGGCTGCCCCGCCTCTGCCCACGGAGCCCGCTGCGCTCCGAGGGCCGTCAGACCCCTGCCGGCAGGCTGGGGCACCAGGCCCGGAGGCAGGCGGGGTCAGGGTGGGGGGTACCTCTGGGCGAGGGGGGAGGCTGCTGTCGCCTCAGGTGGTCTTGATTTTGTCTCTTTCCTGCCCCCTGGATGCCGGCTCCTTTGCTCTAGAAGTTTCTCTGCCGTGGCGCACGGGAGGCTGGGATTCATGACGGGGTCCCCATGGGGACACACAGAGGCCAGGATCCCCGAGGCCTTTCCAGCCACACCTTTCAGGGGTGTGGGGAAGCACCCTGAAGATGCCCAGCTGCAGGCCGAGACTCGGGGTTCTTTGTTTTTTTTAATATTTGTCTGCACTGGGTCTTCATTGCGGCACGTGAGGTCTTGGATCTTGGTTGCATTGTCTTTTAAGTTGCAGCATGCAAACTCTTAGTTGTGGCATGCAGAATCTAATTCCCTGAGTGGGGATTGAACCGGGGCCCCCCACGGCATGGGGAGCGCAGAATCTTGGCCACTGAGCCACTAGGCAAGCCTCAGGACTTGGGGTTCTTGAGGGAATTCAGCCCACACCGTGGCCTGTCACCCCCAAAAAACAGGCTATGGGTCTGGGTGGGACGGGTGCTGGGTGAGCTGGACTGTCCATGCAGTAGCCGCTTGCCCCGTGCAGCGAGTCACACTTGAGAAAGATGAAATAGCGTTGGCTCCATCACACCAGCCGAGCTTCATGCACTCCTGGCCGGGCATGGCCGCAGTTGCCACACTGTTCCACGTGGAACAGTCTCTGGGATGGCGCAGCCGTCGAGCCTGGGGGCAGTGGACTAACACACACCTGCTGGGCACCTGCCCGTGTGCCAGGCCCCGCCCCGGCTGTCTGCAAACCAGTGGGTCAGAGGTGCCCTCTGAGCCCCACTGCTTGCTCTCCCCACGTGTGTGTGTGGGACGTGCACGCGGCTGGCAGCAGAGAGAGCGGGGCCCTGGCCAAGCTCACAGCACACGGTAGAGGTAGGTGGGGTAACACAGCCCTGGGGGTGATGACCCCCGAGGGAGGTGCAGGCCGGGTGCTGGGAGCTGGTGGGGAGGAGTCCCCTCTGCCCACAACTGGGGCAAGGGATGCTTCCATTTCTCCGCCCCAAAATGTGCAGGCTGGGCTGAGAGTGAGTACCGAAGTTTCAGGTCTGAGGTGAGCACCCACAACTCCCAACACCAGGGTTCTACGTGGACCCGAGATGTGCTCCATGCATCCAGGGACGGGGAGGTCACTATCTCCTCTCTAGCAAGATGCAGCCCAACCTGTTCATGGCTGTGGCAGGCAGGATAACAGCCCTCCAAATCACCAGTGTCCTAGAACCTGGAGCCTGAGTGTGTTAACCTCGAGTGGCAGAAGGGCTTTGAATATGTGGATAAGTCTAGGGTCTTGAGATGGGGGATGAGCCTCAGTTGCACAGATGGCCCTGATGTCATCATCATGACTTCGTGAGGAAGGCAGAGGAAGGGGCCAGGAGCCAAGAGCGCAGGCGGCCACCAGAATCTGAAAAAGGCAAAGGCGTGGGTCTTCCTCTCAGAGGCCCCAGAAGGGACCAACCAGCTGGCACCTGCCTCCACCCCAGGGAAAGTGACTCCAGACTTCTGACCTCCAGAGCTCGAAGCGGGTAAGTCTCCGTTATTTTAAGCCGCTCAGTTTGTGGTCATTTGTCGCAGCAGCAAGAGGAGTCTAATACACTAGCATCGTGGTCAGCATTGCGGGTTTCGGCGCGGATGGAAATAGGTTTCAGTCCCAGCTGCTACCTTTTCTAAGTGCGTAGTCTTGGGCAAGTGGCTCTGTTTCTCTGTGCCTCAGTTTACTTTAGCTGGAAAATGGGTCTCCTAATGATGCTCACCTAATAGGGTTCAGTGCAAGCAGGCTATTCAGAAAATGCCCCCTGTTGGCATCATTGTCGGAATCCCTTGAAAGGCAGTGCGTGGTCTGTGACAATGTGATATCTAGAACAGGACCATCTGGGCTATAGAAGTACCCCATCCTGCCTCAGCGTGCTTATCCGTAAAATCACAGTAGTGATGGGATACCGTGAAGATTAAACGAAATACTCTGCATACCTCACTGAGCATAGTGCCCGGCCCCTGGTAAGCATTCTGTTGTTCAGTCTCCAACCATGTCCGACTCTTTGCAACCCCATGGACTGCAGCACGCCAGACTCCTCTGTCTTCCACCATCTCCCAGAGTTCACTCAAATTCATGTCCATTGAGTCGGTGAAACGATCCCCTTCATATCACAGCCTTGTCGTGGTGAAGGGGCCGGTGTAACTCAATGAAGCTGTGAGCCATGCCATGCAGGGCCACCCAAGACGGACAGGTCATAGTGAGGAGTCCTGACACAACGCGGTCCTCTGCCGGAGGAAGTAACAACCCACTCCAGTGTCCTTGCCTGGAGAAGCCCACGAACGGTAGGAAAAGGCAAAAAGATATGACACTGGAAGATGAACCCCCCCGCCAAGCCCAGGTCGGAAGGTGTTCAACGGTAAGCATTTAACCAATGCTGATTATTATTATGGGCCTCTTGTAGCTCAGTTGGTGTTCAATGGTAAGCATTTAACAAATGCTGATCATTATTCTGGGCCTCTTGTGGCTCAGCTGGTGAAGAACCTGCCTGCAATGCAGGAGGCTCAGGCTCCATTCCTGGGTCAGGATGATCCCCCGGAGAAGGAAGAGGAGAAGGAAATAGTAATTATTATTATTGATGTCATTGGATACCCAGCCCCAGCGCCCCCATCCTGGGAGCCCCGTGGGCCCAGCTGAGCATGTAGCCAGGAAGACTGCCCACGGTGCCCAGCCTGGGGGGCGGGCAGGGCGGGGCCACGCTGGCTGACCAGGCCTGGCTCTCTGCACCTCTGCTTGCCCTGCCCCTGCGCCCCTCAAGCTGTCCATACACAGGCCGGGCGCCCCAGGAGGACACCCAAGCAGCAGCCCTGGGAAAGGCCAGTGTCCGCAGCGCGCGGCTGGAGGAGGCGGCCCTTGTCTGCTCCCTCGCAGCCCCCGGGAGCTCCCCGCCCTCTGCGAATTTGCTCAGCTTCCCGGCAGCTGACGGCTGTGGAGGGTGGGACCCGGGCCCCGGAGCTCAGTGCCCGACCTCTGCTCGCAGACTCGGCTCTTGTCCTCCTGGCCGTCGAGAGTCATTAAGAAGTGGCCGCCGCCAGCGTCACCGAGCACCCACTGTGTGCCTGGCCCCCTTCGCCGCGGCCCACGGAGGTCGGTTCCTCAAATTTCCCGGGGACACTTCGAGCGGGTACCTTCTCTCCCCATCAACCAGCCAGGAAACCGAGGCACGGAGCCGCCAGGTAGAGCCCCAAGTTCTCAGCACTCCTGGGGGTTAGATCTGATCTCCAGGAACCTCAGCCCAAAGCCGCCTTCTCTGTGTGACCCCCTCTGAAGCTGTCACATAGAATCAGGGGCTCAGAATCACGTGATGGCGCATTTTAAAGCAGAGCTGGATACAGGAAACCAAAGACAGACATTCTCAATGGCACTCCAAGATCTCAGGGGGAAATCAGAGATCCTTACTGTCAGGTTCCTTACGTCTCACTGCCGGGGAGCCCCTGGACGTCCTGGGGTCCCCCCTTATTCAGTCCTTCCTAGGAGGCTGGGAAAGACTGAAGGCAAATGGAGAAGGGGCGGCAGAGGCTGAGAGGGATGGATGGCATCACCAACGCAACGGACATGAGTTTGAGCAAGCTCTGGGAGTTGGTGATGGTCAGGGAAGCCCAGCGTGCTACAGCCCATGGGGTCACAGAGTCGGATACGACTGAGCGACTGAGCGACTGAACAGCAAGACATGGATGCATTTCCTTGCCCGGCCCCAGCATGGGACTCTCTCGCCTCCCTAGCCCGCGCATCCTCCTCGAAGCCCCCTTCCCACTTGCCTGCATAAATTAGCAGCCCTGCCTCAGAGCATCTGGTGACAAACAGTGGCACTGATCAGGCACTGCAAGGCATTGCGGTTCTCCTGTGGATCTCACAGGGCCGTCCCGGAGGAGCGCGGAGGAGTGTCAACCCCAGGCTGAGGCGGCTCTCGTTCCTTCAGCAGATGGCCTCCTCCCCAGCTTCACACCATGGCTGTGAAGGGAACTCATGCAGGTCTCACCCCGGGGAGGCGGTGGCTTAAAAATCCCTTGAATTCCTCCAACAAAGAGAAGCTCACTCCCTCAGGAGCTCTCCAGGGCTGAGCCAGAGTCCTCCTGGGGGAAGGCCACCCCACTTGTGGCAGTCCCAACAGAATGTGAAAGCCACCACCGTTTGACCCAGAACCCCCACATTTAGGGGGCAGGAAAGCTATGACCCACTTAGACAGTGTATCAGAAAAGCAGAGACATCACTTTGCCGGCAAAGTTCCATCTAGTCAAAGCTGTGGTTTTTCCAGTAGTCACGTGCTGGAATGTGAGAGTTGGACCGTAAAGAAGGCTGAGCGCCGAAGAATGGATGCTTTGGAACTCTGGTGCTGGAGAAGACTCTAGAGAGTCCCTTGGACTGCAAGGAGATCTCTTCTCTTCACAGAGGCTGCCCCCTGCTTCATGCAACCAAGGCCGGCTCCTTGCTTTTCCTGAGTCTGCAGAAGGCTTATGGTGAGACAGGCCAGGGCAGCCTCTGTGGATAGGAACCGGCCCAGAGGGAGCGACAGGCCGAGTCCCCAGGGCGGGGATGAGTGTGGCAGGTCAAACCAGCCTGGAAGCCCCCGTTTAGGCAGGCTGCAGGCCGGTCAGGAGAGATGGGCTGCAGCAGGAGCCCCGTCCTGGGGGCCCTCTGGCCATGGTAAGGAGTTTGAATTTATTCCAGTTTGATGACAGACTGTCACAGTGGCTGAATGAAGGAGGCAGAGGAGCAGGCGGTTGTGAGAAGGCAGTGCGGTCTGTCCCAGCAGGGAGAGCCGAGCACAGCCAACCACCTGAGTCCAGGCACCCCACGGACGTGGGACCCTTGCCTGCTTCCTAAGGAGATGATGCTTCGGAGCAGGGAGGTTGGCCAGGCCAGGGGCTCAGGAGGGTTTTCTCAGGTAGTCGCCATGGTAGAAACAGAGCCATGGGTGTAAGCAGGCCATTCACAGCAAAGACGGAAAAGGCCCAGATGGGCAAACTCACTGGTGACCAGGGAAGCCCAGGTCTCACCTGCATCCACTAGACCTGGGAAGGTGGGGCTGGGCAATGACAGGTGCAGGCGTGGGCATGAAGGCCCCCTGGTGCCCTGCTTGGGAACGGTAGCTGGTGGGGCCACCTCTGGGGCTCATGCACATGAGGCACCCCCTCCCCGGGGCTCAGCAATTCTGCTCCTGGAACTGGTCCACAGACTTGCTCACAGGTCCCTATGAAGCCCCCCGTCCTGCAGTGTTCTCTGGGGCAGTGAGCTTACAGGCACGTGCGCTTGACCTCATGACTCCACTGCAGAAGGAATCTCTCTTGTTGTGCCCATTGTACTGCCCAGAAGACTGAGGCTCAGCAGGTCGGAGCCCTGGTGCCTGAGGCACCAAGTGTCAGGAGCTGAGGTCTGACCCTGAGGCAGCTGTCATGTGTCTTCAGCTCCTACCCGGTTCCCATCACGGGGGCGTCTTCTGCATGGACGGTGGCGGAGCAGCGGGCAGGCGGTGGGCGTGCGGGCTGCACCCTGGCCGTCGTCAGGAGGAGGGGGCTGCAGAGGATGAGATGGTTGGAAGGCATCACCAACTGGATGGACATGAGTCTGAGCAAGCTCCAGGAGCTGGTGATGGACAGGGAAGCCTGGCGTGCTGCAGCCCATGGCGTCACGAAGAGCCGGCCACGACTGAGTGATGGAACAGGATCGCGGTGTGAGTCCTGGCTCTGCCACTCAGCAGGGTGGCCCCTTTGCTCGGCGTCCTCCAGCTTCCCATCTGTGAGATGGGCACGGGCCACCCACCTCAGAAGCCTTAGTGAGGTTTCCTGGGCCAACTCCTGACACACTCTTCCTTCTCCTTCTCCCTACTCCCCAGGCACATGGGGGAACTCTCCCATCCCCACCCCAAAATTCAGTAAGAAAGGCTTCTCAGAGGGGCGGGGGTCATGGAAACTGGTTTTGCGGAAGCTGAATCCAGGCCTTCACTCCGGCCTCCATCCCTCCTGTTAGGCAGACAGTCCAGCAGGGCTGCAGACTCTCCACCCGAGCAATGCTGCCTGCCGGGGGCCAGGAGCCCTGCGTGCTCTGGATGGAAGAGCCGAGGTGGGGGAGAGGCAGACTCCCCAGGGGGGTGTGGGCAAACCTGCACCCGGACCTGGGGGCGTGTTGAGGGGTTCACAGCAGCCAGGGGCCCCAGCCCTTTTCTGGGCAGGAGAGCCACACCCCACGTAACTGCCTGAGCAAAGACCCTTGAACCTGGCACCCTCGTTCGGCCTGGGCCCAAACCGAGCAGAGAGGCCAGGCACTGAGCCGCCAGCCTTCCTTGGGGCCAAGCTGGCCGCTGGGCTGAGGCCGCTGGCACCTTCCGACCCTCAGAGGCAGGGACAGGAACTGGGGGGCCAGCTCACAGCCTGCCTACCTCCTGGGGCTCCCCGGGCAAGTGTCCCACCACCAGCGGGGCCGCAGCAGTGCCTGGCCACCAGAGTGCTAAGACCATGCGGCGAGCCGGTCGGGGCATTAGACACACAACACGGATAAGCCCCTGGCATTGTTGTTCCTGCAGCTCCTCTGGGCAGTGTGTGGGCTGTGGAATCCCATTCGTCAGGACCATCAAGTCAGGAGAGCCCAAGTTTTGCTGCGGTAACAAAAGCCCCAAATCCCCAGCGGGTTTACTGCAACAAAAGTTTCCTTTTTACCCATTCAGCATGCCCCAAATGGGCCAACTGTGGCTTGGCTCTGTGCAGTCGAGTCAGGCTGACGGGGCAGCCGGCGTCGGGAACGCTGCCAGTTGCTGCGACAGAGAGAACGAAGCAGGGGCTGCTGCCAGCTCCCAGGGTGTCCGCCTGGACACGAGACGCATGACTTCCCCTGCAAACTGGCCAGTGCGGGTCACACGGCCAGCCGCAAGGCAGGAGCGTGGCCCTGGACGTGCCCGAGGGGTGGAGAGGCAGCTTATGTGTGAGCAGTGCCAGTGCCTGCCAACCAGACCTCCTTTATTACTTTCGTTCAGTCGCTCAGTCACGTCCAACTCTTTGTGACCCCATGGACTGCAGCACACCAGGCTCCTCTGTCCTTCACTATCCCCTGGAGATTGTTCAAACTCATGGCCACTGAGTCGGTGATGCCATCCAACCATCTCATCCTCTGTCATCCCCTTCTCCTGCCCTCAATCTTTCCCAGCATCAGGGTCTTTCCCAATGAGTCAACTCTTCACATCAGGTGGCCAAAGTATTGGAGCTTCAGCTTCAGCATCAGTCCTTCCAATGAACACCCAGGACTGATCTCCTTTAGGATGGTCTGGTTGGATCTCCTTGCTGTCCAAGGGACTCTCAAGAATCTTCTCCAACACCACAGTTCAAAAGCATCCATTCTTCAGTGCTCAGCTTTCTTTATGGTTCAACTCTCACATCCATACATGACCACTGGAAAAACCATAGCCTTGACTAGACAGACCTTTGTTGGCAAAGGACTGTTGGCAGCATGACTGGAGTCCTTATAAAAAGAGGAGATTTGGACACGGACATGCGTTGAGGGCAGACAGTGTGGATAGGGTCATATACAAGCCGAGGAGAGAGGCCTGAGCAGACAGTCTGTCACAGCCGCAGAAGGAACCCGCCTGCTGATGCCCTGATTTGGGATTTCCAGCCTCCAGAACTGAGAGGTGATAAATCTCTGCTGTTTAAGCCACCGAGCCTGTGGTGCTCATAGCAAGGCTGAGAAGAGTGCTGTCTCAAATAGAGAGGAGTACATCAGAGAAGATGGGCAAAGTGCTTAGAAGAGGGCCTCACTCCATCACCGATGAGGCAGCTGAGGCCCAGAGAGGTTAAGCAACTTGCCCTGGATCACACAGCTCCTGGGTGCCTGATCTCTTGGGGACCCTACTGAGCTCCAGTTTTAAGCCCCCTCCCGAGGGCGCTTTGCTGGGTTCCTGCCACCTTGGGCCTCCTTTGCCCATAGCTGGGGCTCAACCACACCAATCGATCATCCTTTCAGAGGTCAAGGGAAATAGCGAAACAGCAGAGAAGGGGGCCGGGCTGATGGAGGAAGGCTGTTACTCAAGGAAGTAATTAGGTATTAAGTGGAAAAAGTCCACCGGTGTGTTTAGTGCTTCAGCATCGCTGAGTCCCTGATGGATGTGCAGCGCTGGCTGCCTTCCATTGGCAAGAGATGCGTCAGCATGTCCACCAGCGGCCGCCTCTGCCACCATCCAGGTGTGCTGGCAGGCAGGTGCCAGAGGCAGGTGGGCTGAAGGCCGCAGCAGGCAGAAGACCTTCCCCTGGAGAGAGGGCCTGGCGTTTCAGGATGCAGTGGGCTGGCACCTAACCCAGCACTAAATCACAGGCCCCAAGAGCTGAGCCTCAGTTTCCTTGTCTGTAAAATGGGTAGCTCTCTGACGAGGAAGCTCCAGGACCTGTGGCCTTGCAAGAACCTGTTGCCGGGCGGCCCCTCCCCAGTCACGCCCCGCGGGAGGTCAGAGAGGGTCAGGGTGAGGGTGCAGAGTCCACAGTCCTTCCGGGACACCCAGGGTGGGGGCAGGAGGGTGCATTTTGCAACAGCTCTGGGACGACCCCTCCAAGTAGCCCTGACCGTCTTAGAGGGGGGGCCAGGGCAGGTGTGTGGGGTGGGTGAGTGGATGCTGTGGACACTGAATTTTAGGGGAAAGCTTACTAGAATGAAAAACGCCCGTGATCATTACAACTCTGCTCCCACCACCCCTCCATCTTGGCCCTGGGGAGGGGAACCATGAGGCAGACCAGAGAGGTGGAGGGACTGCCCTCAGGGTGCACAGCCAGAACGCGACCAGGCCATGCTGCCCGGGACGGAGGCCCAGCAGGCAGAGACCCCGAGCACCCAGAGCAGGCCCGGCACAGCTAGAGTCACCAGATTTAGCAAAGAAGCATGTAGGACACCCGTTAAATCTGGACTTCAGACGAACAATGAATTAGTCTAAGTGTGCTCCATGTAATGCTGAGTACATGCTTGTACTGTGTTTTGCTTATCTGAAATTCAGCGTTACCTGGGCGCCTCGTATCTTATTCGGGACAGGGAGGGGTGGGAGATGGTGGGGTTTCAGCCTAGGGTCTCTCAGGCCAGAAGGCCTGCGTTTCAGTCCTGACTGCCGCTCACCGGTCCCACAAGCCTGTTGGGTTACTTGAGGCTCAGCCTGGGTTTCCTCCTCGGCCTTGACCTTACCGCCCGCATAAGGCTGGTGTGAGGGTTCCCTGGGGTGACCTAAAGCCTTCAGTTGGGGCCTGGGTGCAGAAAGAACTGAACACATGCTCCGTGTGTGTGTTATGCACTGAGTTTGGGTGCGCGGAGGAACTGTGACCAATCATGAGCCACGTGTCTAAGGCAGCAGGTCTCAAACACTGGGGGTCTCAGGACCCCTTAGCGTTTAAAAAAATCATTGCGGACCGACTGCTGAGAACGTGTGTATCAATATTTACAGCGATGGAAATTAAAGCTGGGAAAAAACAGGTCTTTATGCGTTTGTTTTTAAATGACAACGAACCCACTGTGCTTACAGAAATAATGCACTTTTTTTTAATGAAAAATAGCTCTGTTTTAAAACCAGCAAAACAGCCCAAAGAGCGGCCTTGTGTTTCACTTTGCAGGTCTGTTGAACGCGAGGTTAACACAAGGCCAGCTGGGTTCTCACACCTGCCACGGCTTTGAGCCTCTCGCGAGATCACGCCTCACGTAGCCTCTGGAAAACTCCATGGCACGCCTGCCTGCGAGAAGGTGGGAGTGAAAAATGCAAATCTCTTGCATGGCCAAGAAAGCAGTTTTGACTGTTTGATCTCTGGATCCCCTGAGAGGTTCCGGGACGTCGCTTTGAGAATCACTGTCTGGGGCTCTGGGGAAGACGCCCTCTGCTCCGCCGACCCCTGAGTCTCACCCGGCCGCGATGGTGGTGGGGCTGCCCCAGGTCTGGATGTCGAGGTGGTGGTCCGGGTGCTGCCCGCTCCACAGCGGGCCTTCCCAGCTGCTGTCGGCGCTGAAGGCAACGGGGTGTCCCGCCGGTACCTGCATCCGTTCCCCCATCTCTGCAGGTAAGAGGGGCGAGCTGTGGCTGGAGGCCTGCGCCCTGGGCTTAGAGCCAGGGTTTGGTGGGGGTGATGGGGAGGGGTCACTGCCCTGTGGGGCCAGGGCTCGGGCCTCGGAGGTGGTCTCTCTTTACACACACATGCACACACCGTGCACACACTCGCTGGGGGCCTGCGCAGAGCGGGTTCCCGGGGCCGCAGGTGAACAGTGAGGTCTCATGTGGCCTCCCAGGTGATGCTGGTTGCCTGGCCCGTGTGGCCTCTGGGTGGGTGTGCATCTCGTGAGCGGCCCTGGGGGCGGGGGCCTTTCGTGGGGTCTGTCTGGGATGCAGTCTGCCCTCGCCATGTGGGCGTCTGGTCTCTGCCTTGGTGGGAGCCCCTGCGGTGCGTGCAGGTCCCTCTGGGTGTCTGGCGCGTCCCGCGTGTGGCTGCGGGTCTGTGCGTGCCCGCCCACGAGCATGTGTGCGGCACTTCTTTTGCGTCAGAGGCGGCCTGCCGTCCTGGGGGCTGAGCCGGGGGTGACTGCGGGCTCTCCCCTTGTCTCCAGCACATTCTTCTGGGGCCAGCAGCGTCGTCATGGCAACCAGTGGCCACCTTGTCAATGAAGCAGATGGGCCTGTGACCACGTCTGAGGGCTCCCGCTGTCCCTGCCACCCCCCTGAGCAGCCCCCCAGGCCTCTTGTCCCCCAGACCTGGGCCCCAGAAGCCCACCTCAGCCTACTGTCCCCCAGCCTGGGCCCTGGTAGGGGTCTGGCACGTCTGGGAGCAGATGGGCATGTTCATTCATTCTTTTTTATCCCTGTTTTTATTTTTATTAAAAATGTTTTTTATTGAGACAGAGTTGGTATACAATATTGTGTAAGTTTCACGTGTACAACATAATGGTCCACAGTTTTTACAGGTTAGACTCCGCTCCAGTTGTCATAAAATACTGGCGATATTCCCCGTGCCGCACACGGCGTTTCTGCGGCTCACTTGTTTTATACGCAGCAGGCAGCCCCTCTTAACCCACAGCCCCTGTCGTGCCCTTCCCCACGTCCCTCTCCCCACGCGTAGCCGCTCGCTTGTTCTCTGTATGTGCGAGTCTGCTTCCTTTTTGTTATATTCACTAGTTGTATATTTTAGATTCCACGTATAAGTGATATTGTACACTATGTGTCTGACTCATTTCACTTAGGGTAATGCCCTCAAAGTCCATCCATGTTGCTCCAAATGGCAAAATGTCACTCCTGTTTATGGCTGAGTAGTATTCCAGTGTGTGTGTGTACACACATACATGTACCATGTCGTCTTTATCCGTCCATCTGTTCATGGACACTTAGGTTGTTCCATATCTTGGCAATTGTAAATAGAGTTGCTATGAACACTGAGGTGCATGTATTTTTTTCAGTTACTGTTTTCATTTTTTAGATGTATACCCAGAAGTGGAATTGCTAGGTCATATGGCAGTTCTGTTTTTAGCTTCTTGAGGAACCACCGTATTATTTTGCAGTGTCTGCACCAATTTACATTCCTGCCAAGAGTATACAATGGCCCCGTTTTCCTGCATCCTCACCAACATTTGTTATTTGCAGTCTTTTTGATGATAGCCATTCTGACAGATATGAGGTGATAGCTCATTATGGTTTTAATTTGTGCTTCTCTGGTGAAATAATGATGTTGAGCATCTTTTCGTGCGCCTGATGGCCATCTGTATATTTTCTTTGAAAAATGTCTATTCAGGTCTTCTGCCTTTTTTTTTTTTAAATTAGTTTTTTTGTTTTTATTTGTTTCCAGTATATGCTGTTGATATACTTTGGATATTAACCCCTTATC